ACCCCGAGAAGCCAAGAAAATGGAAAAAATAAGGAAAACAAGAAGCCATTGGCCAAGTGCGCAACCGGCGCGGCGCGGCACAGCTGCAGAGCCGCAGAGCCGCCTGCGGGGCATGGGGGACGGGGCCAGCGAATGGAGTTTTGAGGCGGCGGGCAGGGGGCAACCGCAAATCGTGTACGCTATGTACTCCTGCTACGTGGGGCACGCAGCAAAACAATGCCACACAGTGGCAATAAGGGGCCAAAAGCAGCCGGAAAGAATTGCTCAGTAATTTAATTTAAGCATGCGGATGGCTCTCCACGCAGCCCCCTGCCCCACCTCCTCGCTGTAAGTAGCAGGCGTCAGTTAGTGGTGCGTGCTCCATAAGCCCAAATGTCAATATTTGCCTATGCCACGCATTAAGCGTGCCAAACCATGTGACTCAAATGTGTGTATGTGTGGTATGCCTCTGTGTGTGTGTGTGTGTGTCGTTTTGGGGTGTGCTGAGCGGACATTTAAAATATGTTGTCTTGCCGCCAGTTGTTTGCCAGGACACTTCGCCCACGCACACACACACACACACGAACACACACACACAGAGCTGCAGCATATCTATAGCCCGAACCGCCGGCATGAGCGGAAATTAGCAAACGATTTAAGTCGTGGAGGGGGGGGGGGGGGCGCATATGGGGCGAGGCAACGCGGCGTATGCGTGTTATTTGATTTTGCTGTGGGTACGCTTACAGTTTTCCTCCTTTCACATATTCCTTAACAATTTCCTGTTATAAACAAATCAAGGATGTAATAACGCAGCCCAATGCGCGCACTCCCTGCCAGAGGCTGGGGCCGATTGAAAAATAAATGCCGTTGATTATGATCTTAAGAGCTGCCACAGTCGGTAATGGCCGCAGAAATTGCTGCATAGCGTACTTTGCGCTAGACACAATTGCGAGGCAAAGCCCATTAGTTAGCAGCTTACTGCGTTCTCTTTTGCCCGGAAAGGCTTTGCTCTGAAAAATGTAGCAACAATATTTAGAATAACAACAAAAACTGGGAAAAAACAAAAAGGAAAGAGAAGCAGCAAAATAGAGAAAGGCTATCCACACAGGCCAACGCAAGCTGCGACGCAGCTTGATGGCATGTAAAAGTTCAGTGGCACTAACAACAAGGACATGGACAGACTTAAAGAAAAGCCAGTCAAGTGTATGAAATGTAACAAAGACCTTAACCAAAATTGCAAACACACACACACGCACACACACTCATACACTTACCCACTCGACTGCCACTCACACGAACTGGGAAAAATAATGAGAAAATATCAAAAGTGGGCCCACTTTTGATATTTTGTGCTAAGGCCCTCGGGCTCGGTCCCAGCTGAATGTCAACTTAAAGCTCTTGCGGCTGCCTTGGTTGGCCAACAGGCCCTGGCCAAGTCGGCCCACTCCGGCCGTGCCTTCTTTTATTTTTTAAAGTATCCGAGCTGGCTGAAGCCGACGCTAATGAGCTACTTAGGCAATGACTTAGGTCATTATTGTGTGCGTGAGTGTGTGTGCTTCTCTCTCTGTGTATGTGTATGTGTGTGTGTGTGTGTGCTTGTATATTGTCACATTACACATACGCAGCGTTGTTTTGGCCACACTTTGTGGTGAATGTAAAGCCGACGACAACTGTTGTCAGACATGTTCCAGTCTCAGCTCTCGCTCTTGTGGGAGAGTCGAGGGGGCTGCGAGGCAAACTTTAAGGCGAGCTGCCAGGGCTGCGCTCGGCTGAGCCCTTTGTGCCGCGCCTTTTGTCATCGTGGCGCCGCCCTATCCAAAATATGCCATATTGTATTCGATTAATATTTCAATAAAGCGCTTGTGCCTGGGCTGCCCTTAACGGATTACAATAATCAGAGTCCTTTTGTGCCGCTCGCCACAATGGGCACCGGTCATCAAGTGGAAAATGAGCTGCTTAAGAGCACTCGCAGAGTGCACCACATGATGTGCTCGAACGCAATTTTTCGGCCTTTGAGTTTGCCGAGTTTTCCCGCAGCTAAATTGAAATCATTAGCCAGGCGATGAACAATGGCTGCTGATTTACAGCGCCGCAAGCGCCGCGGGCTTCATTAGACAGCGACGAACCAAAAATTACACAACAGATCAGAGAGCAAACACACACACACACACGCGAGCTGAGTGAAATAAATGTGCGTAATTGCCAACACCTCATTAGGCAAAAACTTGGCTTTAATCAGGCAGCCGCAGTAGCCCCAAATGTGCGAGTGAAAACTTTGAACAGTTGCCCCACCAGCTCGGTGCCAATTAAACGCGTCCATCGCAATGTTTACTCAACGCCAACACGACCAAAGCAACAAAATTCGAGCCGAGCTGGGCTGCGCCGAGCTGAGTTGACAGTGAAAACCATCGACATAATTCTGGAAAATGTGATTTTATTAATTAAATGCGACAGGCGAGTGTCAAATCAGCGACAGGGCGTGGCCTACGACAAGTGGCCTCCTGCTCCACCACCCAGCCGCCTCCTGCTCGCTGCGGCGGTTCAATGTGCTGCTTACGTCTCTGCCGCTGCCGCCGCCGCCGCCGACTGCGCACAACAATTTTAAACATGTCAACATGGTGTCATAATTATAATATTTAGCCCGACAATGTGTGAGTGGGAGTGGGCTAGTGTGCGTGTGTGTGTGTGTGTGTGTGTGTGTGTTGCTTGTGCGCTGTTCGAATCGCTTGCCTTAAATACGCGAAACCCAAAAGCCACGCCTACAAGGCGTAGCCTCTGTCGACGCTATTGTTTGGCTTTGGCGCTGGGCGGCATTTTTAATGATGGCTGGGACTATGGCTGCGTAGGGGAGAGGAGGGTTCCGGGTAGCGGTGCTGTGGGACCGGCCCTGTGCCCACGATTGGAAATTGTATTCTGCTGTCGGTGGCTCGCTGCGGGTGGCTGGTTAACTGATTGGTTTTGCGGTTGGCTTTAAGCCGCCTTTTAAAAGCCATTTATTAGGGACTGCAACGACAATGCCACTAATTGCTTATGCCCTCTACAGCCCGAAATGGGCAGAGCTGTGATGAACGAGCAGCCATCGATAAGGTCAGAGCAGATACGCCTAAAGCTAGCCAAATGTTATCGAGTTTAAAGAATTCTGTTTTTGGTAGAGATCTGAAATTTCTATACCCTACACACAATAAGCAGGCCACATATATTTCTCTTATATCTGAATTAGTTTACATCTCTCACAATATGCAAGATGAAATTATAGGCTGACATTTATTGGGCGAACTTTTATCTAAAAAAATATATTTATTTATGTAATGTCTTATGTAATATGTGTAATATTATCTGCAAATTCCAATGGGACTATGCAAATGTAGCAAAAATAAATACACATATGCATATATAAGATTTTCTATTTATATTTGCACATTTATAGCTCTCCTTAGAGCTAGATAAGGTCAGAGTCATCGAAATAAACTGAAAATATTATTATCATTAATTATTGCCAGCAATTTGTTTATGTATTTTTGCGCTTTGAAGTGGGTCACTTTATTTGCAAATATCTATTTATCTCAATTTATGCTACTTTCCTCTTTGTTTCTTGTTTTTATTCGCAGCACTAGTTATTCCCTCTGCTGGGAGTCTTTAATTTAAAGCACTTTCTGTAGCAAAAAGAGAATGGAAGGTGGACAAAAAACACGGGGGGAAGCAACGTTGGCCAAGTGACCTAGCGGTGGCCAGCAGTTGGCTGCACGTTATCCTGGCCACTTAGTCTTGATTAATGTGTCGCATTTGCCTGCGGAGCCTGCGGACCTAGCGGACCTAGCGGAGCCTCAGGCTCGTGCACCCGTAAATAACAAACCCACTCGCTCTCCACTGACCGATGTCTGACGTCCTCTACACAAATAAGTTACTTTTTTTTTCTTATTGCTTCAAGGTTAATTGGAAATGCCAAAGTTATATGTTGTTGTCGTTGTTGTTGTTGTTGTCGATTAAAGTTTTCAGTTTATTACAATTTGGACTACTTTAACGCTGTTGCAACACGATGTGGCTTTATTTATTATGGATGCAATAAATATTTATAGTTCATCTTGATATATATGTGCAGTGTGTGTGCGTGTGTGTGAGTGTGTGTGCATATATTGAAAGCGCTCGCTTTAAGCACCTGTCGCTCTATCTGCTTCAACTCAAATTTGCTATAGATTTGAAAATTGAATATTTTGCTGCTGCTGCTGCTGCTGCTGCTTGTCTGCCTGCTGATCGCCTGTCAGAGTCGCCGTCAGTCAATCACTCGCTGGCACATGGATTGAATGCTGCGCCCTGCATCTCGGCTGGGCGAGGAGTGGGTGGCCGCTTGACCCGCCACGTCTCGTTTGGGGGCGCACACACAAGTTGAGCGGACTTGTGGCGAAATTTCAAGTGATTTCCAAAAACTGAGCAACGACAATTTGAGCTTGGGCGAGTTTCGCCTGCTGGCTGAAAGGAATCTCTCTAGTGTATCCCAAAAAAGACGCAGCACATTCAGAATATATGTGTGTGTGTGTGCGTGTGTGTGTGGCTAGAGAAATGTAAATGTTTGCAACGACGGCGACAATGGCAGAGACAGCGACCCGCATGATAAGACGCGTATCTCGATGGGTTATTGCTTAGTTTTTGGGTACTGCCTTCGGTGGGGATAGAGCTACAGAGAGATAGAGATAGAGAGAGAGAGAGATAGAGACAGAGAGAGAGAGAGAGAGAAAGAGAGAGCGAGAGATACAGTGAAACTCATATGCATAGATATTTTTGTGGATTTAGTCGCGTCCAATAACAATAACAATGCGCAACAAAACGAGCCGTAAATTGTGGCAAATTCTAAGGCGATAAATTTGAATGGGGGCTTACGGTATCGGTGTGTGTGTGTGTTAGTGTAGATTTAGCATGAGCACTGTTGATTGTTTGCAAATACGCGAATTATTGTCCAGCTTGCCGTCAATTGGCGACAATTGGCCTCAATTTCGCAATTGACAAGTGCAATTTGGAGCACTTACCTCACACTTGGGCAGCGGACCCTCGGGCATCTTGACCTTCCAGCCGAGCAGCGGGGGAATGCATATCAGCGCCGACATTATCCACACCGCGGTGATCATGACGGCGGCGCGGGCGGGCGTGCGCGACTTGAGATAGTCAACGGCCTTGGTGATGCTCCAGTAGCGATCGAGCGAGATGAGGCACAGATTCATGATCGAGGCTGTGCAGAGGAGGACGTCCATGGCCGAGTGTATGTCGCACCACCAGCTGCCGAAGATCCAGTAGCCCATCAGCTCGTTGGCCAGCGAGAAGGGCATTATGATGAGGCCCAGAAAGAAGTCGGCCACGGCCAGCGAGGCAATGAACCAGTTCTGTATGTTCTTCAGCGACTTTTCGGTGGCTATCGCAATGATCACCAGCATGTTGCCCACCACAATGATGATCATCAGTATGGTCACAATGATCGAGGCGATCACAATGTGCGTCAGCGTATAGCCGCTCGGATACCGGCCATCCCAGTGCACCTCCGTGCCGTTGCTGCTGTTGGCCAGCAGGCCCAGGCTCATATTGGCCGTCGTCTGATTGTAGTAGCTGCCCGCCAGCTGGAGGCTGTTGTTGTAGAGGCTGCCATTCAGCAGATAGATCGTATCATTCACTGGCGGCTGCATCTCCAGCAGATTCGGCAGCTGGACCTGCCCATCGACTGTCACCAGCGGCGGATTGAGTGCGGCCGGCGGATTGCCATGGGCCAGCGATGATGATGCTGCTCCGGCTGTGGCAGCTGTTGTTGTTATTGTGGCAGCGCTCGAGAATACGGCCAGGAAGTCATCATTGCTGATGTTGCCCGTATTGATGCTGGCCTCCACTTTGGCGTAGTCCATGTTGCTTCGCTTATTGTTGCGCTTGTCAGGTGTATYTATCTATCTATCTCTGTCTAGCGTCGGATTGGTCCCATGCTGGCGCTGTCCACTTCACTTGGCTAGGCATATGCGTATGTTTGAATTTATATTTTGTTTGTATTTATAAATAAATAAATATATATATGCATATATTTATATGTAGGTGTGTGTGTGTATTTATAATTAAATTTGAAAATGCGGCCGGCAATCTAGCATTCGCTTGCGCGCGTTTCAATTACGTTCGGAATTCAGTTCCAACACCCAATTAAATCTAGTAATTTATCTAATGCCTAGCATAGTTTTGCGATTTGCAATTATTCGATTATGTTTTTACCCGTTTTGCACCGAAACTTGTGTATGTGCGAAGCGTTTTGAAGTCGCGTGAGCGTAAAACGCGCGCGGCTTTCATATAACTATTAATTATTAATATTATTATTTATTTGAATAATACATTCATATACAATATCTTCTTTGTTTGTTTTATTTATTGTTGTTGCTGGATAAACACACACACACATAGACCGACACACATGAAGAAATACAGATAGAGTGTGAGTGAGAGAGAGAGAGAGAGCAAGTGAGAGAGAGAGAGAGAGTGAGCGAGAGTGAACTACACACACACACACACACAGATTAAACGTATACTATGGATTAAGACGGACTATATACAACAGGGACCCGCCACCGGGGCGCCACTAGAACCCCACTCTCGATATCTCGATCTCGATGCCATCGATGTGCCCGATCTGCATTCACATTGCGCCTTCGCCTCACTGCCGTCCGTTCGCTTTTTCCGTATACGTATTCGATTCACACTCGATCAACAGTTTGTAATCCGTTCAGATAAATAGCTCGGTACGTGCGTCAGCTCACTTATTTACAATGGATCTGTGGACAGTTTTCTTTTGGGGACTCGCGCGCCTCACAAGCCACATTCAGTCGGGCGTGGGCATTTCTCGTCGCGATTTGGCGCTTTTTCTTTGGCTAAGTGTCAGTGAGTTTTGGCTGTTTACTTTGGCTGTTTGGCTACTGGGCCGGCTGACGCGCCCGCAACACGTTCGCACCGCTGGAAATGCACATCTTAACTGAATGCCCCAACATTTGCTACCAAAGTTGTCTTTCGCACACGCAGCCTCAGCGGCTGGCTTCGGCTCTCGCCTCGGCGGCGATTCGTGTGACTGGCCGCTTCGTTCGGCACATGCCGTTGCCGCTGCGCTGGGGAAATTCGCTCACGGGGAAATTGTCTCTTTGGCGCGATTTGTGTTCCACATTCCACTCGTTTCAGTTGCGTTTTGTTTTGGTCAAAGTGTGCGTGTGTGTGTGTGTGTGTGTGTGGGTGTGGGTGTGTGAGTGTGGGGCGTGAGTGCGCCATATACCTAAATCCAAGACCCAAAACCTATACCCAAAAACACAACCCGAACCCATTTGTTGCAGCACTTTTCACGTTTTTCATTTCACTGTTGCACCCTCAGCCCCAAAGGGCGTGTGTGTGTGTGTGTGTGGTTGTGTGAGTGTGGGCATGTTTGCTACAAATGTTGGCCATGCGAACGAGGCCCATGTGTGCGATGCGGCCTTTTGTTTACATTTTTTATTCCAACCCACATAGCTGGCTTTGTTTTCACGCCAAATGCTGGCAGGCTCACCTTTTAAATACTTCTCACGATTTGCGGCCTGTTAAAGTTGCGTCTCAACTCTGCCAATAAAGGCCCAAGAATGAAGCCATCAAAAGGCGTGCGGGCCACATGCAATACATATATACCAGCATATATATATACATGCGAATATATTTATATGTCTGTATGTGTTCTTCTGACTGCCAGCACATTACGCACATTATGCGCTATAGTCACGTAGATGGGGCACATAATTGAAAAGCCAACTTGTGCGTATCAATCGTGCAGCCAAACAGGTTGTTCTGATATCTGTTGTTGTTATCATCGATGTTGTTGTTGTAGCCGTTGTTGGTGTTGTTGGTGTGGCTGCTGCTTCAGCAGCTTCGCAATGAAATCAGCTAGAAATTATTATGATAATGAAGAGTTGAGCGCACACTTCGTTCGCCTGGAAGTTTTTCATGAGCCAAGTATGCATTTATGTATACGCTGCGTATGAGTTATTCGAGTTATTTGATTACGTTAAGCATACGCCGTGTTGCTGCCGCGCATAATTTCAAATTACACGCAGCAGAGCGGCATCAACATAATAAATCTGAAAAGGGCCGACACTTGACAAACAAGCAGCGAGCGAGCTGCTACGACATCAACTTATTTGCCGTGACGGCCAGACACACACACACGCACACACATGCACACATACACTGGCATATGCCGGAAAGACTAAGCAGCAGAAAGAGCAGCTTTAGCAGCGGGTTCTCAGGGCTCAGTGCCTAACAGAAGATTGCTTGTCAAGCGCTGATTATATTAACCGCCTAGGCAGACACACACACGCACACACACACACACACACTCATTTGTGTGTAAAGCCAATCAGTGAGCCATGGCCCACAAATACACACACACACACACACACACTCACTATAAGCAGCCGCAGTGTCGGGCAGAATCAAATTGCGCATACGCCGCATAAGCCTATGGACTGTAGTCAGTCGGACGGCATGGATAATGCGCAAATCTCTCAAATGCGCATGCATTAAGTTATGCACATATACATATATGAAACCGTGTGTGTGTCTGTGTGTGTGCGTGCGTGCGTTTGCATGCCTCATTGCGACTGCAGCACGCACAGAGCAGCCGCTAATGACAACTTCGTCTTTCCGTCTGCATTTATGTGGCCGTTGCTCAACAGCTAAATCTAATTTTTATTCGCCGCACGTTTTGCATAATGAAATCGGATTTGTGGACCCACATAAACTGCAGCTAAAAATGGGGGTGTGGCAAATATTGCGCGCACTCTCTAAAAATGTTTTACGGTACCAGAAATATGCTAAAAATAAAAGAGTATTATAGCACTGTAGTAAGTATATTAGTTTAAGCCAGAGAAGAGAAACCATGTCAAAAGATTTTCGATAATGGAATAGACGTGGGTTGTACAGAGGGTAGCTGCTAGGCCTAAGAAACTTTAGAGAAAATATTTTTGCATTACATATTTACATATGTTTAAATGAAACCCAAATTGGTTGAGTTAAAATTATAAAAAATAAAATAAAATAAATAAACTTCAATACAAAAGAAATAATTTTTAAATTATCTTAACCGATTTTAGCTGTTCATAGGGTATTTGCCAGGTCTAGGAAGCTCTGGAGCATTCCTTTGCGCTGTGCGCCGCTTCAGTTTTCCGAAACTTTTCCCGACCTGAGCGTTTTGTCACTATACGACTGGGAATAGCAGCGAGCGCTGCTGCCAATTGGCCAGAGCCGTGCGTTATGGACCATTGGAATGGGTCGAGCAAGGCAAAAAAAAGAAAATGGGGAAACACATTTTCAGTGCGCGAGAGTTCGGTTGAAAAATGCGCAAATGCAACTCGCTAATGGCTGCGAATATTTTATGTGCGCTTATCAGTCGCATTAGCTGGAAAACTGTTGCTAAAAGCTTGCCATATCCTATGGGAGTGCTGCGCTGGGCTATGCCATGACGTGGGGCTGGTACCGGAAATAACGTTACTCATACGCACTGTGGCGCAGCTCGATGCATTATCTTAATTTAAAAGCGCGTTACAGCCAGAGCTACACGGCATTGGACAGGCTGGCTGGCAGCTCATGTACCAACCAGGTTTTAGTTTCATTAACTTGGCTGAAAACTCATTTATCAACCTGTCAGCGGCAATTATTTATGCTCGCCTCCACCTTAGGCAACGCGCAGTGCGTTTTCTGTGCACGCGCATCGTGGCAAATTATAGAAAATTACCCGCAATGGCAAAAGCATCTCAATTTGTCCACCGTCTGAATTGCAAATGCTTTAACTGAAATTACAATCGATAGAACTTAAATGCGCAGCTAAATCGAATTAATGGCCAAGCACTTCGAAGTCGCCAACCTTGCCATTAAGCATTGAAAGTTTTAATCGGCTGATATGACCCCTGATTCGAGCTGATTCTGTTTTCCGGCCTGCCGGCGCCCCATTAGGCTGCCAATCAGCCCGAGGCAGCGACGGCAACGCCGGCAGCACGTGCGCTCAATTGACAATTGAGGAGCTCCGCTGAGTGGCCGAGGGCAGTTGGGGCACGTAGGGGCGCACTGGGCCAAATGGGAGCACGAACGGGTTGGCTCTTCCGTCCGGCCAACATGGCCTCCATGTGCATGTCACAAGCGCCTCAAAGCACAAAACATAACCATATTTACTGCTTGGCCGAGCACAGCAGCAAACACTTCAGCCAACAGCTGCAAGCTCGGACAAGGAAACTGGCCACATGCAACCATCTAATGACTATATTATTATGAAAAAAAAAAGAAAATAATAATAAATAAAT